CAACCCCTGGGCTGGCCTCACGCTACTTGCATCGATTGCATCGATAGATGAGCAAAATTGATGTTGGCCGGTGCGTTGCTCATTCTATCGATGGAAAACTCTCTCTCTCTCTCTCTCTCTCTCTCTCTCTCTCTCTCTCTCTCTCTCTCTCGGCTAGCCATGTGGCGGGCCATTTTTTTTTCGTTTTTTTCATAGGAGATGGCTATGGCGGGATCTTTGTCAACGTTGTTTGGCGGAGGACGAGCGGGAGGAGGAGCGGGAGGAGCGGGAGGAGGGATGGGAAAAGGAGAGGGAAAAGGAGGAGTGGGAGGAGGAGCGGGAGCAGGTGCGGGAGAAGGAGCGGGAGGCGAAATGCGAAGGGGCGGAGGAGCCACGACAGGAGGAGGGGTTTAGGAGCGAGAGAAGGAGCACGAGGAGAAACGGGAAGGTGCGGACGAGGCGCGGGAGGAGGGGCGGTAGAAGGAGCGGAAGGGGGAGCGGGAGGGGAAACGGGGAGGGGGTTAACAAACACGCGGGAGCCGGAGGAGGGGGAGGAGATATAGGTGGAGGAGGAGAAGCGGGAGGAGCACGAGGACGAGCAGGAGGAGCGGCAGGAGGAATGGGGGAAAGAGCAGGGGAAGCAGCGGAAGAAGGAGACGCAGCAGGGGCGAGAGCGGGAGCAGGAGGAGGAGGAGGAGAGGGAGGAGCAGCAGGAGAACGAGCGGGAGCGGGGCTATGGCGGGATCTTTGTCACGTTGTTTGGCGGAGGAGGAGCGGGAGGGGGAGGAGGAGGAGGAGGAGGAGTGGGAGGAGCGGGAGGAGCGAGAGGAGGCGTGGGAGAAGGAGCGGGGAAGGAGCGGGAGCGGGGCTATGGCGCGGGAAGAGGAGCAGGAGGAGGGGGAGGAGGAACGGGGGGAAAAGCAGGAGAAGCAGCGGAAGGAGGACGACCAGCAGGAGGAGCGGGAGGAGCAGCAACAGAGGGAGCAAGAGAAAGAGAGGGAGGAGGAGCGGGAGGAGCGGGAGCGGGGCTATGGCGGGATCTTTGTCATGTTGTTTGGTGGAGGAGGAGTGCCTTTTTTCACAATCAAACATAAATGCTCTTTTTTTCAATCGCGCGCTTGCACCACCATGCCTCTCATCGCAGCGGCGGGCCCACTTGTAAGGATGAAGAAAGAGAAACACAAAGAAAGAAACAGATATTCAGAGGGGAGGGGGGGGGAAGACGGCGCTGCGTTCGACTTGTCTGCGCCCTTCGCAGCTGGCCTAGCGATTGGGTGTAGTTGTTTATTATAAACTTCTGTTTGTGTTGCATACAAGATCAGATCTGTTGTTTCATTCGTGCTATTTTTAACAATGTGCACTTCTTTCATTCGAGATTGGTTCACCTCTATGATTTATTGATTTGTAGGACAACTGAAACGAGATTGGTTCACCTCTATGATTTATTGATTTGTAGGACAAAAGAAACGGTTTTCACCTTTACGGTAGCGGATGCTGTTCGCAGGGCTTGATCTCTACGCCTCGCCCTTACCCGTGTAGAGTATCAGTGCCCTGTGTGTATTTGTACCCGCGACCTGTGTTTTGAAAGTCGCCTGTTCATTTGTTGTAGATAGTCTGGTCGTTGAGTTTCGATCCGTAGGTCCGTCGAGTAGGAGTCCTTACTAAGTAGGGGTCGTCGCTGCAACAGTCCTTAAAGGTCAAAGTCATAGCTGCTACAGTCTCAAGAGGTCTAGTCTGAAGGTTTCCGGAAGGTCTGGAAGCGACCTTTCGTAAGGTCCTAAGAGTCAGTCTAGGGGCAAGTGGGCAAGTGGGCAAGTGGGCAAGTAGGCAGTCCAACCTCGCTTAGTCAGTGATACCCAGTCCCGGTCGCACTTTGTCAAGTCAGCAAGTACCATGTGGGAGTTTGCACCTCGGGCCCAGGGTCCAAGGGCAGACCATTGACAATCCAAAGTATAAATCAAGAGGCAGCGTCAAGTCATTTATTCATTCTGCCTGTGAGCCATGTGGAAGCGCTGCCTGAACGTTTTGTGCAAGGAGGTTTGCAGGTGTTCGTAAGACGAAGAGGGCTAAGAGGAGGGAGATCAGCCATAGCCGATAGGTGTTAGGGTAGGAGGAAGACGGCGGCCATAGCCGCCACGTCAGCAGGATAGGTGTTAGTGTGTGTGTGTGAGTTGTGTGTGTGTGTATGCGTCGGGAGATCCAGGGAGATCCAGTGAGTGTTTACGAACAAGTCGATGAGAGTGTGCATGACGGCCATAGCCGATGTTACATGCTGCACCTGCAACAGGCTGCACGGGCCATTTTCAGCCCCCCGCCGTTTTCAGCCCAAAAGCCTGAAAACAAGGGCCTACAGGCCCCGTGTCGTTTCAGCCTAAATCAGGGCCTTTCCGCCCCTGAGTCTTTTCAGCCTGAAACTGAGGGCCATTTTCAGGCCCTCATAAGATCGACCTGCCCTGAAACTCAGGCACCAGACCAGGGTTTTAGCTCAGGCCATTTTTGGCCTATTTTCAAGACAACCTTCGTTTGAGCTTCAACCCCAAGGTCTGTCACGTTTTGGCATTGGCAAGAGCAGCCTCCTGGACGGGCCAGCACTATATAAGACTGGCCTGCCCTGCAGGCTGCAGGTAGTTCCTAGGTACTTCCCAGGCACTTCACGTGCAGTTCAGGAGGCAGGAGCTAGTCTTCAGGATTCGGCAGCAGCACTCTGGAGGGAGCGCTGCTGGAGTAGCAGTAGCGTTAGCAGTAGCCTTCAGCGCTGGGCGCTAGTAGCGTTAGCTGCAGTCTTCAGCGCTGGGCGCCCTAGCCAGAGTAGTTCTATAGGGAGAGAGATTGGGCGGAGGCCAGAGGGACTTACCTGCAGCGCCATCGCTCCAGCTTCATCTTCAAGGTACCTGCAGCACAGCGCCACCTTCACAGGTTAGTACCTGGCATATGAGAGAGAGAGAGATTATTTTTCTTCCTCTTCTCAGTCCACTCACCCTCTCGATATCTGACTTCACTGCATCAGCAGACTATGTGTGTGTGTGTGTGTGTGTGTGTGTGTGTGTGTGTGTGTGTGTGTGTGTGTGTGTGTGTGTGTGAGAGAGAGAGAGAGAGAGAGAGAGAGAGAGAGAGCTTGGTGACATTTGGATCCACACTCGACATTGGACTTCAGACATTTTGACGAGGGATTATTTGGGACTTGTAACGAGACTTGGTGTTGACGACTTTCCCATCTCTCCCCTCCTCTTCGTCTGTGCATGGCTGGACCTGGCGCCTCTTCCTGTGTATAGCGCCAGGCCCCCTTCACACCTTGTGGTGAGAATGATGTATGTTTAGTCGGCGTTGCGACATTGATTGGGCTCGTCATTAGTATTCTAGCCTTCTGCTTCGCTATCTTGTACTACGTGAAAGAGGTCAGTCCCGGTCAGGTCAGGACTTGTATCTAAGTCTTCCACTGCGTTGTAAAGCACCATTTTGTATGTAGCAGAGTGTACTCTGCTCGTTGAGATTTCACTTGCACTGCATTGTCCATTCAGTCCTTTTCATCACATTGCGGATCCTTTGTTATTATGTACATCGCCCAACGGGGCATGTAACAATTGGTATCGGAACACCGCACGTGAATCAGGACAACCTGATCTGACACGTGTGCGGGGACTAGGTAGCTGATTAGTTTTGATTGATTGATTAGAGCACACTAGTTAGCCCCCAAAATCACGATTTTGACCTCACTGCTGAAAATCGATTTTTTTTTTCTTTTCTTGGACTTTGTTTTCTCGCTATTTCTGTTGTGGAAATTGCAATAGCGCAACATCTGAAATTTTCGATTTCGTTTTTCTTATGAAAATTCAAAATTTTGTTGTTGAAAATCCGGAATATCTTCTTTTTCGAAAATTTCGATTTCCTTTTGCAATTTCCCGTTATTTGGAAATCCAGAATATTTTTATTTCGAAATCCGTTTTTTTAAAAAACGGTACGGGAATCCCTCTGGCAGTTAGCATTCTCCAACTGCGCGTACTCTCATCTGAGTAATTCCGAATTTTTTTTTTGTACTTCATTTTCAGAAATCTTTTATCCGAAAATCATTTTCGGTCTGAAAGTTTGAGATTTTTCTCATGGATAATTTTGCACTTCAGGGGCTTGGACCCATTAGCGAATATATTCTACCACTTCGTTCAGGATTTCGATCACGTGTGGTCTCGAGTGACACAGTATGGCCGTCGAATACATCGGATCTCGACGCCAAGTAGTTTCTGAGCGGGGACTGTAAAGATGCCCACCTCCCGTCCAATGAGATGCGTCGGAAAAAAAAAAAAAAAAGTTGGACTAACTTGGACATGATAGCTCGTGGCTTTGCGTGGGCGTGAAGTCTGGATTCTATGGGCGGGGGGGGGGGGGGGGTTGATTTCCAGACTTCTTTTTTTGTTTTTTGGCTCTGAGAAATAGAACTTGAAAGGTGAAATTTAGATATCGTGGTGGATCTGACAGGAACACTTCCGCGTCTGTCGGATGGCCTGTTAGAGGCATCATGAGGTACATGGGGATGAATGTATCCCATACCCATTACTTGTTCATCCTGGTGGCTGTGTTCGTGGTCACATTTTATTGCCATGGCACATCACTATGAAGACTTACGTGAAGGAGATCGTACCAACCCATGAATTTCGTGCACAACTGTTCTTCATAGTTTTATGTGCTATTTCAATTCGTGCTATGTTCATGCAAATAAAAAATCACTTCGTATTTTCCAAAAAAACATAAAATTGCGTCACACATCGTAGAATACTTCGCTAGTGGGCCCAGGCCCCAGGGGACTTGGGATTTATTTTATTTTAATTTTTTTTTGCAAAGTTTAAAGTTTTTTTTCGATTAGTGGCTTCTTATCTGGGCGATTTATCCCACCCCTCCCCACTTATGTTGTTGCCCCCTCTGGTCTTCTCACTATCACCCTTCGGGTACCCCCTGCGGCAGCATTGGTGAGTTGCCATGTCAGCAGGCCACGTCAGCAGGACACGACAACAGTGCCACGTCAGCAACCAGTCACCACAGCAGCAGGTCACGTCAGTGCATGGTGCTCACCCGCTCAAAGACCAGCGGCAGGGATCAGCAGCCAGGCGAGACTACCGAGGCCTGTGAGGCCCGCATGCTGGACATGGTAGCAGAGTTCAAGCAACGGGCAGCTGCGGCAACATCCGCACGTAAGAAGGAAGATGAGGAAGCAAAGGAACAACGTCGCCTCGCTGAACAGCAGCGACAGGAGGACGCTGAGGCAGCAAGGAAGGCCGCAGACGAACGTCGTCAACTACGCCGAGACAAACTCCTCGAATACGAGGGGGATATCGAGGTGATTGCCGGCGAATGGGCAGTGGTTGCTGAAGAGGAGGGTGCCCCCTCTGCTCTGCGTGGCCTTGCAACCACAATCGAACATGTGAGCGAATTGGTCGCCACCTGTGCAGCACAACAAGAGGACATCCTCTGCATGGACACCTTGGTCCGGAAGCGGGCTCGTCTTCTCGACGAATTGCTTGACCGGGTACGCCGGCTGGAACAGCAGCTTACAACAGCCACCCCCGCCGGACCCTCCAACTTGACGGACCGCGTCAATGTCTTGGAAATCGACGTCAAGACTCTCAAGGACGGCGCTCTAGCAACAAATCAGCGGATTGACCAGCAGATTTGCGCCACCGCAGCCAGTCCGACCGCGACCACTCGCGAGAGCATCCCAAAGTTTGACGGCCTCCCGATCTTTTGCGATGCAACGAAGACGGACCCGGTCCCATGGTGGCGCAGTTCAAGTTGAAGTTGGACATTCACCACGTCATCAACCCGAACCGGCACGGATACTTATACTCCCGCTCGGGAGGCGTGTGCCAGGCATGGCTGGACGACATGTTGTCCACGCACAATGTTAACAGTCTCTGAGCTGCATACGAAGATCAGTTGGGCTGATCTCAAGGCAACATGGCATAAGCGGTTCCAAGTGGAGCCGCCCGAGCTTCAAGCAACTGAGAAACTTCAACGGTTCTATCAGAATGACCTGCCAAGCACGGACTGGATAACCGAGTGCCAACGCTTGGATAACCGAGCTATCCGGCGTTGCAGAACGCCTTGACGCAAGTTGCGGAGACGCTCACCACAAGTCAACAGCTTTTTGATAAAGCCTCACAGATCATCGTGACGAACATCGAAGCCAAGAATTTGGGCCATTCGTCTGCTGCGGGCCAGGGCAGAGGTCAGCATCGGCCAAAAGTGGCCGTGGTCGCAGCAACTACAACGACCAATTTTTCAAACGAGGCTGCCTCTTCTGATGAAGGAAACAGATTGGCAGCTGCCCGAGATGGTGGTCGCCCCACCAGAGGGCGAGGACGCGGCAAACCGACGACGCACACCAATTCATCCCCCGGGGCCGGACCAGCGGCGCAAGAGCCTTGGACACATTACGGTATCTCGGAAGGCGTGTACCGCATCCGTAAGTATCGATACTGCTTGTGGTGCAACAGCGCGGTACACGACACTGCAACGTGCCCCACGCAAGTCAATGGCAAATTCCCTTCGGGAAAGTGAGCACCGCCGAGAGTGATGCGGCTGCACTCTCAACGCCTTCGGAATCGGTTGCTTCGCGAGCGACCTCTCTTCATTCCGAGGCACATGGGGAAGTCGACAGTCCTCTCTTGTATTCTTATGAGGACTATGCTGCCGGGCTCGTTCCTTCGCTGGGTTCTCAAGCTCAAGGACAAGATGTGTGTGCGGCTTCTTCGCCGTCCGGCAACAACAACAATAGATCGTCTTCAAGTGGCTCTTCAAGGGATTCGACGCACGAGTTCAACATAGAGGGCTTGGACCCGTTGACGTCCGAGGATTTTGCATGGCTTCCTCTCCCTTCCACAGGCTGCTTGCCAGGACCGCAATGCGCAACACTTTGCTCCCATCTCCACACATACTTAGCCTTCTATGCACCACCATCTTCGTCGACGGATGACGAAGCTGCGGTGGGGGGCATCCTTGCGTATGTTACCAAGGTGGCCCGCGAGTTTCACATGCAGCGGTACGATGATAACAACGCACCGTTCCTTTATGTCCGCATC